AGTCAAAACTTGGGAACCGGTGAGTCAGTCAAGGAACCCGGTGTTTGGCTAAAACATATATCTCAAACCACCGCTAAGTTAGTTTTTTATGGCCAAATTTGAGCTAGTCATGAGTGGTCGAAGAATTGCCGGATATGGTCATAGGTGATCGAATAGGGGTGACCGATTGCCGGATTTAAAGAATAAAGAATAGGAAAATATATAGTATAAACAAAAGAAATATAGTAAAAAGTTGGGGTGAGGTAGATCAAAGTGAAAATAATAGGTGGAAAATTAAAAATATAAATAAAATAATATTTTTTAAATATTAAAATTAATAAAATAATGACATATTAATAAAAATAAAAACCCGTTTGAATCGTTTGATCCTATAAAATCATTATCCAAATGGTGGTCCGATTCCATAGGCGACCCGATTCTGACAACATTGATTGGCCTTACATAATGGTCTTAAAACATACACATGCATATAACTGAGATCATATTCACATAACCTCTCACTACAAGAATGGAATCATTGAATATTTTGTTTCACCTCTCCTTCATTACAGTTCACTAAGTTTATAAATCTTTAAATACTCACATTATTGCAAATTTTGCCATTTCCATAGCTTCTTAAAAAAATGCTAATGTGAGTTTCTTATCTTGATCCATTCTAGATCTGACCACTGTTTCGGTTAGAACTGGAACCGGAACCGAACCGGGGTCAACGGTTTTAGAACCGAACCAAAACCGGTTTGACCGGAACTGGAACCAAAACCGAAAAAACCGATTCGGTTCCGGTTCCTCATTTTCGGAACCGAGAACCGACGGTTCGAACCATAGTTCTAACCGTTTGAACCAGTTTAAAAAAAAAAAGAAAAAATATAAAGTATTAATGTCCTCTCTCTCTCTCTCTCTCTCTCTCTCTCTCTCTCTCTCTATATATATATATATATATATATATATATATATATATATATATATATATATATATATATATATATATATATATATATATATATATATATATATATATATATATATATATATATCTATATATATATATATATATATATATATATATATATATATATATATATATATATATATATATATATATATATATATATATATATATAAAAGTATTAAGAAAAATATTTCCAATGGTCAAATTAAACAAAAAAAAAATTACATATTTAAAAAAAAATTAAGTTTTTAAAATATATTTTCCACTTTAAAAAAGGAACTATTTTTAAAAACCAGAACCGGCGGTTCGGAACCGAAACCGGAATCGAACCGAACCATGGTCAGGTCTAATCCACCCGTTATAGAATCTTCACAGGTGGTTTTATTACTGAACAAACTTCTTGTGTTCTAGTCCAAAATTTGTTATCCAATATGATACATGACACATTTTCAACTTCACTTAGTCGTTTTGAAGTGTTATTATAGGTTTCCCACTCAGCAGTCAACACATTATCTTCAACTCCATAAAATGTCGAACAAGACTTTCAATAGCAATAACTATTGTTGCAAATATTGTAATTCTTGGCCTTACCAACTTTCTATCTTTAGGGTATGACTTGATAAGATAAACTATTTTGTTACTATTGTAAATAAAATTTGTAATTTTCTTTGTCTTTTCTATTCATTTTTTTATTTTTCATTTGGACATCTTGCTTATATCTTTCAACATCAAATCGAAGCTTCACTGTAACAACGTGTACAATATCTTGCTCCCTATATCATCAATAACTTTATTAATAAGAAATAAAATAAATGTGTTCTTTAGTTTGTTAATGTAATCCATTAAGATATGGTATATCATTGATTGATCACAAAATAATATAAAATTGGTGATAGAATGCTTAGTTTTAGTACTACACGATTTGTTCAACCATATTCTGACCATTTTGTTTTAAAGTGGATACATCCTTCGATTTCATAAAATTCTTTATCTACATAAGTTTACAGCCAAAAGGACCCTTAATTCCAATCTCAGATTCAACAATAGTAATTATCATAGGTTGATAATAACGTCCAGTATCAGCACCACCATGAAACAGAATAGCATTAACTAATAATTACTTTGAAACGACCTTACCAACTTTGACTCTTTTGAGGATCGAACAAGTTTTAAAGATTTTTTTTGTTTTGATGGAAACATGAAAGGATCAACACCACTTGAATACTTCGTAGGTCCTTCTCTTACGTAGAAACTACAGAATATTCCTCGTTTTGCATCTGATGTTTGACCTTGGGATGAAGTACCAACAACACGCCCTACAATTAAATATTACTAATTAATTGACATATTGTATAAGTATAACTATGTACTAGGATATAAAAGTTCATATACCATCATCATATTGCCTACGCGTCTCTTTATCCAAGGCTAGCGTTTGGGTTTCTCTCTTCGCATTATGTAATTGTTTGTTCTCCATTTCTGATAAATGTTCTTTGTTTGTGTATTGGCCGGGAACCTTGTTCATCCTCATTTTCGATGGTACTTTCAGTATCAACGTCATGAATGTTCATATTTTCTTCTCGAATGGACATTATAGATGTTTCCTTTCTTTTTTTCATTATTTCTCTAGCAGCTCTAGAATCATGGAGATGTTTTCGAAGCATTACCGAAATTATTTTCGGAGTTTTTTACATGCCACTATTTCTCTAGACACATGAGCGATGCGTTGTTTCAATCGTGTGCAAAAATTATTTCGTGTAGCAACTATAGATGGAATCAAAAGATTGAAACAACACGTCGCTCATGTGTAAGGAAGTAGTGGCATGTAAAAAGGCTCTGAAAATAATTTCGATCATGCTACGAAAACATCTCCATGATTCCAAAGCTGCTAGAGCAATAATGAACAAAAAAAGGAAACATCTATAATGTCCATTGGGGAAGAAAATATGAACATTCATGACGTTGATACTGAAAGTAGCAGCGAAAATGAGGATGAACAAGGTTCTCAATACACAAACAAAGAACATTTATCAGAAATAGAGAACAAGCAATTACATAATGCGAAGAGAGAAACCCAAAAGCTAGCCTTGGATAAAGAGACGCGTAGGCAATATGATGATGGTATATGAACTTTTATATCCTAGTACATAGTTATACTTATACAATGTGTCAGTTAATTAGTAATATTTAATTGTAGGGCGTGTTGGTGGTACTACATCCCGAGAACAAACATTAGATGCAAAACGGGGAATATTATGTAACTTCTACGTAAGAGAAGGACCTACAAAGTTTTCAAGTTGTGCTGATCCTTTCATGTTTCCATCAAAACAAAAAAATCTCAAAAACTTGTTCGATCCTCAAAAAAATCAAAGTTGATAAGGTCGTTTCAAAGTGATTTTTAGTTAATGCTATTCCGTTTCATACTGCTAGTAGTGGACCTTATTATCGATCTATGATTAATATTGTTGTTGGTTTATAGTTAACTTGCATTCGATATTAGATTTTGGATCCATTATGTATGATTGTGGGAAAAGTAAGTGCAGTTAGAATCTAATACTAAATTTAATACTGCTTAAATATGTGACTAAAACTAAGAAATTAAAAACTACAAAAGTTGTAGCAACATATAGAATTATAAACCGCAAAACTATAAACATATCAAATTGTACCTTTTCGGAAGAGAAGATCCCATAATAGTGTCTATTTTACTTCTTATTGCTCTCACTATCTATATATTCGGTATTACAAGCTCTCATATTTATAACCAAAACAGAGTTATGGGCATTATTAATTGTCTCCATAATGTATTTTGCTGTTTTCTCCATACTGCTATTAATATTGATGACAGAGAGATGGGAGTTGCAGAGGAGAGAGAAAAGATACAAGATGTCTTCCTTTAACCAAATGCAAATGCAATAAAATTTCACTACACACTCCCTGCAGAAAAAAAATATTTAACAATTTTTTTTTTTTTTTTTAATATTTTTTAATTTGGAATCTATCTATTAGTTTATAGACTTTTACCCCCAAAAGTTTATTTTAAAGCACTTTTAGTCCAAAAAAAGACTTTTTTTTCTTTTCTAAAATGACCCCATAATCTAGCCCCCAAACAAAAAATCTATGGGTCCGTCCCTGTAGACACTGTTATAGCTTGGGATTTAAAAAATTAACATTGATGTCAAATTGTCATCACAGGTCCACCACCGGTCCACCAGGTTGTCCCGTTTTTTTTTCTTACTCAGTCCAATATGTACCGTATTTGTACCTACTGTAACGAGTGATTATATACATTGGGTGGATTTGAATTGTATATTTGATTTAATAACTATCTACTGGTCCTACGTACATATAATCACACACAGGGGCGGAACCACCTTGTGACTTGGGGGGCTCCCGCCCCTGCAGGAAAAAAATTTTGATCATTTTTTTAATGGTTTTTTATTTTATATTATTATTTATCTACTAATTTTTATGCTATAGCCCCCCAAAAAAAATTTTTAGCCCCCCCTACCAGTAGGCTCTGGGTCCGCCCGTGATCACACACACCCAAGGGCGGGCGGACCCATGTGTAGCCTTGGGCAAAAAAATTTAGCAATTTTCTATTAATTTTTTTTATTTTATTTTGGTATTTATCTATTAATTTACAGACTTTGGCCTCCTAAATTTAAATTTTGTATATTTTAGCTCATGAAAAATATTTTTTCTTCTCTTAATTCACACCCAAATTTTCGCCCCTTCACCAAAAACCCCCTAGGTCCGCCGACTCACTCATGTGTATGTGTGCGTAGTAGATACTTGTTTAATCAAATCTACAATTCAAATTCACTCAGTGTAAATAAAAGGTGTAGCATCTAACTTCCTTTACTGTAATTAAGAACAAGGGAGTTTTAGCCAAAAAAAATTCCATAAAATTAGATGAGTTTGTTGAAGAATAAACAATTGAAATACATAGTAACACAATGAACTGTAACAATGTTCTTATAATTAGGCTCTTACTCATCAAGATAAATGCACTTTAAGTGATGCCTATATAATATATATGCATCAAAAGAAGCTAAAAATCTTATTCATAAAACACAATAAATAACCACCAAGTTAAAAAATTACATGTTCATAAATTGAAATCACTCCACATCTAAAAAGAAATTAATAATTTTCAAATGCATCCAAGAACTCAGCATCACTTTCCATTGCCTGCATTGTCTCCGCCGCTAAGCAAACTTCCACGTCGATCCCGCCATCTTCCGCCGCCGGAAAAGTCGTCATCTTCCCGTCAAATTTCTGGCTTTTCCCACTCCTCACCGCTATCGGTTTCCCCCATCCAAAATCGTTGCCGTACACATTATGCCTCGGCGAACTTGTTATAGCTAAAGTACAGTTACCAATACTCCCCTTTCTCACTATTGTTGGCTTTTCAATCCAATCTTCCACAAATTTGACCACTTCTTCTCGATTTTGACTAGCAACAAACTCATTGATTTTCATCCCTAAATACCCTAATCCCTTCCCCAAAAGCTCGGTTTCGCTAATCGAAGTTTTCGCAATGTAGGTTCCATTCCCAAAGTAGCCATCACCTAATGGGATTCTTGCTCTTGCACCAACTACAAATAGCATGATGCAACAAACTTCTTCTTCTTGCGTATTAATTTGCGGTGTTCGACGATTGCGGTTTTTGTTACGCGCAATGCTCCGCCACAAGTGAGCCGAGACAACTTGTAAAGACGATATAATTATTTTGTCGCTACCGGCTTCTGAATTGGCCTTGGCTTTGAGCTTAGCAACACTTTCTTTGCTAAAGTGGAAAACCCTTTGAAGCAATTGAGGCATCATCACGTGGCGTTTGGGCAAGAGATTATTTTGCTCCAATGGAGGAAGAAGAATAAGACCATCATTGCAATTGCTCGGAAACCATTTTTCGAATAGTGGCATTTTTGATATTTTATCGAAACCACGGGATATCTCGGACCAAGAGTTGAAGAAATGCCAGAAAGATGTTCCGTCTATTATAGCATGATTCGCCGTGCAGCTTATAAAGAATCCATCCACAAGCTCAGTCACTTGCACACCGAACAAAGGCTTCGAAATTCCGTCGATATTCGAAACACCGTTAAGTGGGAAAAAGGACGACACTATCTCCGGTATGTAGTTTGGTTCCGAGATGTCGGAAACGCAAACTTCAGCGGCGACCGCGTGAGTAAACTCGGCACCGGCATTGTTGCAGTCGACGAAATAAGAAACATTGTTATCGCCGTTTCCAACGACGGCGGTGCCGAGGCGGCCGGCGAGCGGCGGAAAGAAGCTTAGTGTGCGTGAGAGTGTGTTCTTGAGGTGGTCGATAATCGTGTTTCGGAGTTGTTGCGATTCGGGCTTGTGAAACAAGATTCCCTTTTGAATCGGGTCGAGTAGGAGGAATTGAAGATCCCATGGAGTTAGATCCATTCTTGACATGGATTTATTATTGCCATTGCTTGCCATTTGAACAAGGCATGAAGATTTGATATCAATTTTTTCCATTGATATATTTGAATTCAAGAAAGGAAATGAAAATGAGTGGAGAAAAAAGGCTGAAGAAATTGTAGCTTAATAATCAGGTTGAGGAAATGGTAGCTTAAACCATTATATAACGAAACGGTCAGGTAGATGCTACGTCTGGATATTTACTTCTGGTGAATTTGAACCGTAAATTTGATTAAATAACTACTGACTAAGTATACATATTAGTTTGTGTCTGATTATATATGGAACTACGATTCAAATCCACTCAACCTAAATAATTAGGTGTAGCATTTAATTCACATAAACCGCAAAGTCAATTTTCTTACCTAGAATAATGAAAGCATCTTGTTTAAATAACTTTATTGCGTTACCCGAAGTGATATAGTATAATAATTATCTGAAACCCTCACATGTTGAGATTGTGTTGTAACCATCAAGATATTGTGCTTCAATTCGTAGTAGGGCCTTGTGAGTAGACATACCGTATCGTATAAGCAAGGAACATGTGTGATCTACGGCTCTAAACGAGTTGATCCGATTCGTGAGCCTCATCATATTTCTCGACAAAAGTTCGAGTTCCAGCTCGAGCTCAACTTTTCTCGGGGGTCAAGTTTGAGCTCATTTTACCTGCTCGAACTAGGCAGTTGGTTTACACACTGTAATTTGGGTATGATAAACATAATTCACTCAATGGATCGTTAATCCAGAATTATAATTGGACCTTAGGTAGACAGACTTAGAGGTAAGCAAGTCGGATCCATTAACCCGTCAAATCAATTAAAAATCATTCCGTAGAACCGGACATATAGATCAATCAATAGAATTGGGTTCTGAAATGAAGAAGATTCGGGTTTTGGTCTAAGATGGATTCAATGTTTTTAATACTCGTAAAACATGTCTTGGCCCACTATACAAAACGACACCATTTTGTTTATACGATGTAGTATGATAATTTAATAATATATAATGAATAAATAAACTATCTCTTGTATATAAAATACACAAATAAACTACACGATAATGGCGTTGGTTTTGCTTGCTGCTGACAATGCTATAGTTATTTATTTTATTTTAAATTGTGTTTTATAAACTTTTAATTAGTTAGTCTTTACAATAGATTTTATGGTTAATATTTATATTAATTTTTATTTACTTGCAATATTTACCATTATACATGTTGATTTAGTTTAATAATTAGGAGAATTGCATATAATCAAAAGAGGAGGACTTGAATGTACATGGGTTCACTTCAAACCAAAATCAACTTCCCAAATATACTCATTCCCATGTCTTTTTTTCTAAAATACCCCTTATCATTGATAAATTTAAATCATTTTCATCCATTAAACTTTAACTTTATCAATATGGTACACTAACCCCAAATTTATCAAATATATCGCATTCACCCCCATTTTCACACAAAAATTAGAAAATGTTTTTTTTTCCCGGTCAATCATCGGCATGGACTTTTTTTTCCCCCCAAAAAAAATATTTTGGACGGTCTTCAGGTTTGATTTTTATTTTTAACAACCAACTCAGTAATTTTACTATTTGTACAATTATTGTGTGAAAAAGTACAATTATTGTCTCATACAATACAATTATTGTCCGAGACAACAGTATTGCAGTATTGCAGGTTGTGACAACAAAATTATTGTTTCAAATAGTTAAATTACTGTTTGAGACTGTAATATTGCAAGACAATAATATTATCAACACATAATATTACTGTATGAGACACATTAATATTAACACATAATATGGGATAATTTCAGTTTTGGTCCGTATATTTATTATACACCATTTTTTATTTTGGTCCTTTAATTGTTTTTGGCACAAAATTGGTACTTTAACTTTTTTTGGCACGAAATCGGTCCTCAAATAATCAGTTTTTTTACATTTTTTTTTACCACCATTTGAAATTGCGATTAGATTGGACGGAAACGTCATGTGCGAGGCACATGACCATGCACATTAACCCCTCATGTTTACCTATATTATTAATTTAACCCCAATATCACTTTATTTTTACAATTTTATCCAAATTAAATTATATACGAGAAATGTACTAAAATGTTAAATGACAAAAATACCATAGAAGGGTTTCTAGGAATTAGTACATTTTATTTTATTCACAAATATTATTATTTTGTTTTTCTCGAAAACACTATAACCAATTTGACTATACCAAATTTTATTAAAGAGTTTTTTTTTCAATTTTATTAAAATGTAAAAAATAATTAAGCATATATTGTAATTTCATAAACAAAAAATCCTCGTTTATACAATAAAATCAATTTTGCCTAATCTTATGGATTTTATTGTATTTTTATTATTCTTTAATAAATTTTTAATAGTATTTCGATTTTCAATAAAAGTGCAAGACAATTAAACATCATTTCAATTAAAAAAAGGGACAAAAATGTAAAGTTGGTGGCTCGGCGGCGGAGGTGAAAATGGCAGATGGGGCGGAGCTGGGGCATTCGGAACAAATTGTTGAGGAGTTGATTTTTTTTTTGGACGAATTAATAATAATAAAGTAAATTGGGTCAAATAAAAAATAAAGGTAAGACCGGAGGGTAGAAGTGGATGATTACATACCTCGCACGTGACTTTCCGTCCAAACTAACAACAATTTAAAACGGAGGACGGAAATAAAAAAAAAAAAAAAAAAAAAAAAAAAAAACAAAACCTGGTTTATTTGAAGACCAATTTAGTGCCAGAATAATTTAAGGACCAAAAAAAAAAAAATTGTATAATATAGGAATGCCTACATAATATACTATAGTACTACTAAAATCTCTTTTGGTTGGACATATTAGGCTGGATGGGACTAATTGTACCGATTAATTCATTGTTTGGTTATCGTGTTAGACCTCCTCTTGATTATGCGGCGCACGGATGCAATTAGCTACTATTGGTCAAGCCATCATCAGTTAATCCCGCCATCTGGCCATGTGTGTAACGACGATAATAAAACCCTTCCAAAAATAAACTAATTACCAAATTATTATATATAAATACTTATGTTCTTCAAAAAATCCTTACCGCCGAGCCCTAATCAACCAACATGTACGCTTTGTTGATTTCTCTATCTTAAAAAAAGTTATAAACACCTTTGTTACTGGTAGAACAAATCATTGGCTAACTTATAAAGATGCAAACTTACGCGTCGGTATTGCATATAAAAAAGAAGAGAGATAGAATATTTCTTGGAGAATCGTAAGCGTCGGGATCATGGTTCGCCGGAATGGAAGAGTGCATTGTCGCGAACACTGCCGTTCCAGTTCCATTGCAACGTCGCGACTACATCTCGGCCGAACGAACACATTTTAATTAAATTTGCTAAAAACATACAATATATTTCAAATATGTTTTAATAACAATATTACAATACAATAATATGCAAAATATTATTACAATTTAAAAAAATAAATATACAAAGAACATAATAAAAATACAAGCAATATTAATACCACGTAGAATGTCGAGCTGGAATTATGTAAGCTATAATTGAAGAGTGAATCCAAACATCCGTGATTCAGGAGAATCTTCATTCTCCAACGTGGCCACCACCATCTTATTATTTCCTTTTTTTTCGTTTATGTTTTTTTCCTTATTTTTTAGTCAAATTAGTCATATTTATATGGTGTTGTCATTCGTTGAAAGAAGAGGTCCGGTTGCATAACTCTTAAGAAAACGGGTCAATTACTAGTTTTTGGTCTATATGAGGAGTATGTGACACCTGGGCAGTGCAACATGTTGGGATGTGAAGCCCAAGATTCAATGAAAATTCGCAAGAGGTTCTAGATTAGCCGGTTTTAATTTTATTAACATCCTTTGATTAGATTCGTTTAATGCGGAATAAATCTAATCTAGCAACCTACAGTTTTCGTGAGCAGATCCGTTTCTATCTTCGGCGCACGAACGAGGATCCACACCAAGCCTTCAATCCTCGAAGAACTGTTGTCCAGAAATTTCCAGTCTTCTTCCTTCACCAATATCTCCGCGACCGTTGAATCGATCGAGAAACCCTTCAGACGATTTTAGATCTAAGGGTTAGGAAGTTACTGTATAAATTTCGAGCATATCCGACTAACAGTTGATTTATGGTGATTTTCTTCGCAGGACTGCTCAGAAAATTCGTGAATTATAGTTTGCTCTAAAAACCTACAATCTTCTATTGTATATCCCGGATTAATAATTCTTTTACAAGGGTGGACTTGTACTTGAAGAAATCTAAATCTATAATCGAGAAACTTAGAGAGAAAAGAAGAAATAGGCGTGTAGAATCATCGTGAAATAGGCGTGTAGAATCATCATCTCTCATCAACTTAATCTCTATTATATATAACACAAGGAATTAGAGTCACACATAGAGAGGATTACATGGGAACAAAATACCACTCCTTCTATAACTCTATATAGTTTAAAATTGCAGTCCAATGGGGACTTAATTTTTGGCTATATTAATTCCAATATATAATATTGGTTGAACTTTATTTTCTCGATTAATTAGAAAATCCATTGGGCTACAACAGAGACTATAGGAGAAAATATAAACCGGACAACTAATAGTTAATTAAATCACCAAATAATTTATTCACTACTAAATAAATTAAAGGGGTAATATGCTAGGAGTCCCTCCAAGCAAACCTAATTTGGACTAAATGACAAGTCAACATTCAATCTTTTAATTAAATCCTTATTTTGAAACAATATATGATATATATCCCTAATTTATTTTTATCCCTCTATTGCCCTTATACCTTAAATAGTTTAACCTACATATTTAACGTTTCTTCTACCAGATTATTTATTTTTGTTCTTCTCTCTTTCTTTTCCTCTGCCCCCTCCCCTCCGTCTCTGTCTTTTTTTTTCTCCCTCTCTTTTTCTCCCCCTCTTTGTCTCTCGCTTTCTTTCTATCTTTCTCGATCGATCTTCACATAGCTATCTTTTTTTTGTTAAGGCACGAATATTGTGCCCCTATGCTCAGAGACGCGACGGTGGTGGCTGCGATTTTGAAGGTGGCGGCGGTGGATCTGAGAGAGGCGACGGAGCGGGTAGCGGAGTGGCGTTGGATCTGAAGGCGA